TGTATCTGAAAAGTAAAGACCATCTGCCTGCATTGTTTTTAATGGCCTACAGGGGGCAACTTCCCTGGTTATAAAAACTATTCAGACTATACTGAGTTTTTGCACATGAAGCGATCACTAACCACATGTTATGTTGTTTGATATTTTTGACATGTGGCAATCTAGGATCAAGTGAAAAAGGCTCCAGTCATATGAGCCTAAAGACTGATCTGCAACCAGCTGCCAACAACCCAGTCACCAGGGAAAAATTAGTATTTCCTATAAAATATATCCATCCATCCATCCATCCATCCATCCATCTTCTTACGTCTATCTGGAGCCAAGTCGCGGGGGCAGCAGCCTAAGCAGAGAAGCCCAGACCTCCCTCTCCCCAGTCACCTCATTCAGCTTGTCGGGGGAACACCAAGGCATTCCCAGGCCGGCCGAGAGATATAATCCCTCCAGCGTGACCTCCTTCCAGTGAGGCATGCCTAGAACACCTCACCCAGGAGGCATCTTTGTCAGATGCCACAACACCTCAACTGGCTCCTTTCGATATGGAGGAGCAGCGGCTCTGCTCTGATGGCTGAACTCCTCACCCTATCTCCAAGGGAGAAGCCAGACACCCTTTGGAGGAGGCTCATCTCCACTGCTTGTATCTGCGATCTCGTTCTTTCTGTCACTATCCACAGCTCGTGAGCATAGGTGAGGGTAGGGATGTAGATCGACCGGTAAATTATTATAATAATATTATATTATTAGTAGGGATGGGTATCGTTTAAGTTTTATCCGATACCAGTACCAAACCGGTACTTTTGAAACGGTGCCGGTGCTCAAACGGTGCTCGAACCGGTGCTCGAACCGGTGCTTAAAGAATGGAGAACACAAAATTGGTCCAAAAACCTCTCATGTTCAGCTGTTTTTTTTGTAAAAAGATATCAATGTTAGCCTTTTCTGCAGCTATGGGGCATATATGGTATCACTCTTGGCTGGAAGCAGTGCTTAAACAATGGAAAAAACACAAACTTTGTCCAAAAACCTCTCATGTTTAACTGTTTCCCACTTTTTCTTTGGTCATTTTAGCCTTTTTGGCCAGGGTGAAGGGAGTATCTGCCATCAAACAAGAAGACAGCCGCATGTAGCTATGATGATGTTTGCTAGTTCACCTTACATGCATTAATTTAATAACGCGGTTAGCCTACTCAACATAAATTACACACAAACAACATTAAGCTACTCAAGCAGAGAAGAACGGCTGCTGCTGCCATCATCATCCGTCATCATTTCTGCTACACTGGCAGGGCTAGGGGCCAGGACTCTCCTCTTCGGGTTCTTGGGGGATGTTGCTAACAGGCACCACACCCGCAGTAGATGTGCTCGGTGTGAGGTCTCGCAGCAAGCTATCAAATACGGTGCATTTCTCGGCTTTTAAAAAACCGTTATGCATCGCCAGGTGTTTCATCAGGTTCGAGGTGTTACCTCCTTTGCACAGTATCACAGTATCAGCTTAAAGCACTTGTTGCAGGCTGCTGAGTTTGCATCTTTTGCTGTGAAGTGCAGCCAGAATTTTGACCGCTTCGCCTTAGGCATTTTTAATCTGTAGCTCTGTTCTAAAAGAACGTATGTACCTGGGCCTGCCTACTATCCTTGGAAACGTAAAACAATTGGCTAGAATCTAAAGTGTATCACAGCTCAGGAAAAAAAAGCACCGAAATAAAGCACCGAAATGTGTGCTGCTTTTCGGTCTGGTTACTACCGTTTATGTCAGAACCGGCGGCATCATGGCACCGGATACCGGTACCCATCCCTAATTATTAGTATATGAAACGAAGTAGTTCCTGGAGGTTGATAACTGATGATGGTTGATGGGATAACAAAGGTTAGTCACACAGGCCAACACCTTGGTCAGTGACTCTCTGGCACCACCGGTAGCTAAAAACCACCACAACCTCATGTGACTGCTAACAAATGAACTTCAAATACCAACCAGCTGCTCTTCAATCTGTAGATAAACTGAAAACAACGCAAACCATAGTTTCTTTAAAGTAGAAGTTGCACCTTTTGAAACTGAGGCACGTCTTTTACTTTGAAGGCGAAGTTTCTTCATGTCCAGTCTGTGTTATAGTTTTATAAGTTTCACTGCTGTTCAGCTGGTAGTTAGTATTTGCAAACACTTTCCTGATTAGTCGCTAGTTTCAAACTTCAAACAGTACAAGATGATGTTGATTTTTTTCATTGTTGATTGCACCATGACACATTCCTTGTTTGTGTAAATATGATTGCGATACACATGGTATCTGTGAACTGCCACCAGGGGGCATTGTCCACCGGAGGCCCTGTCTGAGTGGCTAATGCTGCTTTTTGATTTGTAGTTTAGTTTTGTGCTTTTTCCTCATTGTGAGGATCTCTGCTGTCACTCATCACCCAGTTAAAGCCAAATTTTCAACCAATCAGAAAACTACATACAGTGTCACAGCTGCTTTAGTCAGATCTCCATCTTTTATATACAGACTGTAGTAATAGTGAGCATGCTGTGGAGGACAGAGGAGGTTAGCAGAGGCCCCAAACACATTTTACTCCACAGGCTCACTGGAGAATAATGATCACTAATTATAAGTCATTTAATATTTCAAAGATCCCAAACCACAAGCAGAGAAGAATGCTCTGATGATGCATTTTCCTGCCATCAGTATACCTCAGAGCTGATGGTCACATGTCTGTAAAGTTTCAGTCCAAAGAGGAAACATCTGCTTACAGGTGCTGCTGGAGGAGGACATGCCATGTCTACTCACGTTATGTAACCAGTTTCAGTCTGCAGACACACACACCAACCTCCAGGACCTGCTGCGCACTGTTAGCACTCTGCTGACATTACACAAGCACAAGTCATCTTCTTTAAGGAGGACTGTCCGAGAGAACAGCACACAAAACCTGCAGCTTCTGCTCAAAAACACCACAAAACACTCACTCCTACAGACTCACTGCTGTGGGAGAACACTCCCACACAAACATCAGTCGAGAAAAGACAAAAACTCACCCAAAGTAAAGTCCTGGAATAAAAAGAATTATGTCCGAGGAACGATCCTGGACTTTTCCTCCGCTCTGCTCACATGTTGTGTTTCCGTCCTGACAGCAGGAGGGCGGGGTCCTGCAGCTGGACCACGACCAGCCACACGAAGAGGAGGAGGAGGAAGATGATGTGCTGTAACGAATTTGCGTGTCATCCTTGCGCAGGGGCCATGCTAATCTTCTCTGTATCGTATCCAATTTAGCGTACGCGCTTGCCGAAGCAAGTGTGTGCTGTAACCAGGCCACCCCTCTCAGACTCAAGTAGATTTCTTACAGTCAGTTCCACGGTGAGCTCTGTGTCCTCTCACCGTCCACACAGCGGGGTCAAGGCTGTTCCCCGAATGTTGTCTTTAAGACAGAAGAAATTAAACTGCAACAAGTCTGAAGAGCCTTTGGGACACTCGGAGCTTCATAACTCACACGATCACAAATATGAATGCAACACGTGAGAGTCATTTAAAACATTCTAAAGCTGCAAAAACAAAGCTGAGAGAGAGGAACATGGATTTCTTACTTATTTATTTACAGCTGATTGAACTTTTTTATAAACTCGATCAATGCGATCAGAACCAGTTCATTATTAAATGTAATCAGCTCGAAACACGAAATGAAGTGAATACACATTAGGTGTAGTATACTGCCCCCTGCCTGCTGTACCTGTGTATTACTACAAGCAGAAAGCAGCAGGAGCTAGTGCCTCATGCTGACCTGAGACTCCAGACAAAAACAAAATGTGGTAACATAAAAAAGCCGAAGCACAGAACATAAATTCACATTTATTTTTATTATGAAGTTTTTCTTTTTGAACCATTAATATTATGACCATTTGTTAAGTATTTATTTTTATTGGAAATGCTTATGGTATGTTCTAGATTCTAGTTGATGCCACTAAAAAACTCCTTTATTATTACTTCTGATTTTCAGCTGTGCACTTCAGGAAATTTTAAAGGGAGGAACAGAGTATTGGGACTTTCTGCTGCTCAACACTTTTGTTGGAGCTTTTTTTCTTCTCATGAATGAAAACAGGAAGTGATTCACAACTTTAAAGTAAAACTTTATTGGTCCGAGTATATTTGAGGTATTTGTGAGATGAAGAAGTAAACATTTATACATTAAAAACACAAAGCAAAGGACAGAAAGACAAACAATGAAATACAGGCACTGTGCATCAGACTGAGCTCAGCAGGTTAAAGCCGTTTCATTGGTCCAGATGAAAACAGTTTTTTTCCCTTTCCTGTGCTCAGACTGTTTCCTCTGGTAGGAGGAGCTTGCTGCTGTCATGTCGTCACAGCATCAAGCATGAGTTAAAGTGAGCCACCGTCAGCAGGTACTTCCTCATGTTCTCCCTGTGTGCATTTATCAGACACATGCAGCAACACGCCGGCACCCCTGGAGGTCAGCTGGTGTTCATGGGCTCTCCAGGTCAGTGAGTGACCCTGAAAACAGCAAGCACAGAATAGCTTCAGAAATGAGACCAGAGACAAGCTGCCAGGTGACACACACCCCCGTCCCAAATGAGCCAATCAACAGGATTGCAGAGTCATTTTCACTGCAGCTTCAAAGTAACTGGCTGATAGCTGTGTGACGTCTTCATTTTGAGGGACACTGAAGTGAAGATGTTAGTATCTCCATAACAAACACACCAGGAAAAGAAGGCAGGATTCACAGCGACCTCACGTGCTCGCGGTTGGCACTGATGCCAAATGGCCGATTGCTGTTTGTTCGCACGGCAGACAAAAAAAGGTTCTGGACAGATGTGCATGGAAACTTTAACCAGAGGTGGCTGGGGTTTAGTCATTAACCTTTAGAGGTGATCTGGAATTTTTTGACAGATTCTTTTTCAACATCGGAGCCAAAAGAAAAAGCAAGGGTTTCTTTTCATACTTTCGTGCAGCTCCGTCGTCCTGATGCGGCTCTCGTTCAGAGTTAAAAATGAGGTAATCCTCTGCATGGGGTCAGAGGTCACAGCATCGTCAGAGCCAACCTCACAGGTCATCACCAAGATGGGACCTTTCACTGCCTTCAGACAGAGTTGAACGCTCTCCTAAAGAAACACAGACACACTTATAAATGACTGAGGCAGCAGAGACGTGGCCGTCTGAACTCTGCATCACCTCTGTGGGAGCAGGAACATCCAGCTTAGTGTCCTCGGGAGCTTTGACAATGATGGCCGTCTGATCCCGGTACACTCCAAGTCGACTGATGTCCTCGAACGTCACATAGGCAAGCGTAAAAAAGGGTTAAAGAAAACTTCTCACTTTAAAGAAAAGAGCAAAAATCTGCAGACTTAAGGCACTTTTATATACCTGATGCTGAGCAATGTGACTGATTCTCAGACTTATTATAGATTTTTCCTGCAGTTTCACTGAACCCAGGATCTCTGCATTATTATTTTCATATTTCTGGAGATGACTCTTTCAGCTAACAAGAAAGAAATCGAGAATGCTAATCCTACTAAAATACCATAATAATCCAGGAAAATGGGCTCAACAGGAGACCCTGGGCCGGACTCGGCACATGTTTGGAGCTCACATGAAGAGCTGGAGGACGGCGGCCTGTTGAAAGGCTGATGGCCTCTGAGAGGGGTGACCTCTGACCTCAGTCCCACATGGAAGGATATGAAGAGTTTTCCACGTTGTCCGTAAGGCTGAAAAGCTGCTGGGCACAGCTTCTGATGAAGCCGTCCAGCGCTTCCTCCACCAGCTTCAGCTTCTGAATCTCTCTATGGAACTTCTGCTGGTTCCTCCACAGGAAGCTGGAGATGGAGCTCCAACCTCTGCACACAGAGAGGGTTCATGCTAAAAGAGGAACTACCAACTCCTAACCCAAACTGGAAAAAACATCTTCAGCTGCTCTCACAGTCTCCTTGCAGGCTGCGTTTAACCTGCAATTTAACCTGAAGGTGATTAACTTCCCTCCAAACCTGCTGTTTATCAGTGAGAGGCACTCAAACAAAAATTGCACTGCAGAACAAACCTGCACAAATTTGACTGGAGGAAAATTAGAATCACATAAAAACTTAATTTATGGAAAAAGATAGTGAGGCAGATCCTAACACATCCATCATGCTCTCGTTCAGGACTCACATCCACTTGATCTTGTGGGCCGACTCTCTCTGGATGAGGCTGATGCCGTCCAGGACCCTGGCGATGGCGTGCACTTGCTGCACGGAGGTCTGCAGGTTCGCTGCCACCTGCCTGATGTCCAGGGAGCCGTCAGGAGCTGCCAGCAGCAGCTCCAGGAAACCGCGAGTCAACGAGCCCAGAGGTTTGCCTGAACACAACGGAGCCGTTTGCTTCACAGCGCCGAGCTTTCACCAAAACTGTGTCTGATTCAGTAACAATCATTCAAAGGTACTGCAGTAGAGTCCAGGATTAGAAATGAGTAGAATACTAAGACTCACCGTGCTTGATGCTCTGCTGGAGGGAAGCACTGCAGAAGAAAAGAAGACTGCATTTGAGACTGTGCTGAACTAACAAGCTGCGAGAGGCAGTTAGAACTTTTTAATTAACAGACAACACAAAACACAGAGACATAAGTTACCTGATATTGTCAGCCCCGGCAGGATCGTCCCAATCCCAGCCCGGATCCTGGAAAACAGAAACTATAAAATGAATCAATCGAATCACATTAGAGTCAAGATCAGGGCCGGTGTTTCTCACTAGGGCAGCTTTGCATGACTGACATGTTCATCCTCTGCAGCAGCTTTTTTTTTTTTTTTTAGCTCCTATCTCTTTAAAGCTGCACTACTGTACTACTTTTCATTGATTAGCCATCCTCTGGAAGCCTACTGAGGGGCAGTTTATTTATGTGTAAAAGACAATGGCTGAGCAAGAAAAAATGGAAACCAGATGATTGATGAATGAGCCTCGGCTTTTAATGCTTGACTCATGTTGATGACTTTGAATTTGGCTGGAATAATGGCGCCAGTGTGACAGGGCTGCTCATCTGTCGCTCTGCTTTTGTGACCCATGTCATTCATGAAACCAAGTCTCTGTGTCAGCGCTGCCACTGTAAATGAAATGGTCAGTGAAGCTGAAGTTTCACCAAGGAATTTTTCTCCTGTTTTCCGAACAGCGCACGGATTGTTCCTAAGAATTTTGTGTCTGTCTGAGCGACCCCTGGATCCTGTTGATGCCCACTTGGTGCCCGTGCACTAATGCTCTTTAACTGCATGCTTCTGGCATGTGATTCTGGTAACCACATTGTTCTGGTCTTGCTTCACCCAACAGCTGCCTTTGACACAGTAGACTACAATAGTCTACTATCTTGATTAAATGATCTAGTGGGCATTGGTGGCACTGCACTTAATTTGTTTAGGTCACACTTAGCAGACAGAACTTTCTCCACCATCCTTCTCGGTTCTAAATTGTCTTCTGCTTCTCTGTCATTAGGCGTCCAACAGGGCTCAATTTTAGGGCCACTTCTGTTTTTGCTGTATTTACTTTCGTTTTTCTTTTAGTTAATTGACCTTTCTAATTTGGTGATTGAGTTGAACCAGATTTATGAAAGAGAACAGCAGTAAATCTCATTAGAGAGTTTCCGACATACTTTTTATTTCACAGCTTTAAAGATGATTCATTTTCTTAAAATATTAGCTAATTATTATCAGAGAAATGTTTCTATCAGCACACGTCAACACGCTGCTCATTCCTTTTCATGTCCAACTAACAGTGAAGCTGCTGTCATTTTTCTGCACATGTGCTGCGTGTGTGCAGTTTGTCCAAAGCACGCAGCTATCCACAGAGACCTTCAGTTCAACCTCAGCAGTTTCTGAAAAATCACAACTAACCAAATCAGAACAGACTCCCACCTGTTGCTGTGGATTCGGTGCAGTCGGACGTTCCTCTCTAAATTCATCTTCCTCTCTGTCGTTACTGCAGCCTCCGGCGTGCCAATGCTCGTCTTCCTCAGAGGAATCGACCTCCCAGGCACTGAGCAGACCCAGCTGCCCATCCAGGTAAGGGGGCATGAGCGGAATGGCATCACTGGTGACTCCCTTTCTGCAGATATCCTCCGGCAGGAAGTGGTCTTCACAGATTAAGAGGTCCTCTCCAGTGTCCTGCCTGTGCGTCTCCCTCAGGGCGGCCAGCCAAACCTGAGCACAGCCGCCAGTTACTGCAGGTCAGTTGGACCTGATCACCCCACATGAGGCACTGCAGGGGAAACTGCACCACACCTCAACACAGTGATTTCATGACCTACACCAAAGTTCTAACGCCTATTTCATCTTTTATTCCATCTGCCTGCTGCCGCACGCCCTCAGAATCACAATAACTCATCTCTAATGAAATTAAAAACCAGCATTATTAGTTCATGGTTTTAATCAGCGTTTCATGAGAGCAAACAGCAACGGTTGCTTTTTAGTTGATTTTTTTATGTTTTAGCTTATGTGAAGCACTTTGTTATTTTTATCTTGAAAGGTGCTATATAAATAAAATTTTACTCACTTACTTACTTTTACTTGCTGACGTCACTCAGTTTGGTTTTCATGTGTTTTTTAAAAAAGTTTCCAAACCATTTCTTTACTTTAAAACTAAAAACAAAGACTGGTAATAACGTGAGCCTGGGAATGTTTGCAAACTGAGTTTGAAAACTCAGTCAGTCAGTCTGCCCCAGGGCAGCTGTGGCCACAACTGTAGCTTGCGTCCACCAGTGTGTGAATGTGAGAGTGAATGAATAGTGGAATTGTACAGCGCTTTGAGGTTCTCGAAAAGCGCTATATACATGCAATCCATTAAAACATTTTAAGGGTTTAGAAGGAAATGTTTGGAAAAGTCTTTGAATGTTTTGGAAATTTTTTCAGGATAATAAAAGACTTTTTTCAAAGTAAACCTCCTTCATACAAAGCCAGCGGACACACAGCGGAGCTCGTACCTGGACCCGAGTCGGGTCTTTGGGGAAGCTGAAGAACCTCTTGGGGGGTGGCTGGAAGGCCCCCCGGGTGTAGTGAGCTACGCGGTTCGGACACCCAGAAACCACACACTTCACCATGCTAACCGCCTCTCCAACTGCATCCGGGATCTGTTTGTTACCGGTAAGACTCACAATCCGGACTTAACCCACGTACACCCGCCGCGTGCCGTTTGTTTATGTCACGTGTCACCGGAAAAACACGTGCATGACCCGGATGTATAAATGCGGAAGAAGGTAAAGTAAAGAGACACGCCCCCTCTTCCTGCGCAGATTATAAAGCAGAGATTTAGAGTTTAAACCCGACGGAGACAAACTCCCCAGAGGTCTCCGAGCATAGTGTACATGGCTTCAGTGCTGGAGCAGTGGGACAAGTAGGTCCAGATCACAAGAACAAAGTATGTTTCCCTCGTAAAGTTAATGAGCCTGAACTTCAGAAGCCTAAATACTGAGGTTAGATTTGGATGTTTGGAGTTTTTACAGGGTGGGGTTGCTAGCCCCACGCCCAACCCTCCTCCTTTATCATCCGGGCTTGGGACCGGGTGTTGTGCCAAAAAGTGATTGTCTGCCAAAAACTGATTTCCAGTGTTTCTGATTTCCAGTGTTTCTGTGTATTTTTTATGTGTAATATCTTTACGTATGTTCGTAAATAGACTTCGGTGAACAGGGGATACAAAGGGGTTACATAAAGAATTAAAACATTATCTGTTTTTTAAGTATCTTTACAACTTGTACTTACATTATAACCAATCCAGTCCTTTATCACCACTTAAAATATTTTTACAGAACTATTGTAATATTTGCTGCTATTTCTGCTGTCCTGTTGGGCAACTTACTCTTACAAAATACATTTTTAATGTTAATGAGATTTTTTTTACTGCATAAATAAAGGTTATATAAAAGTCGCTGCCAAAAACTGATTGCAGCTTGTATCTTGCTACACGAATGTTGTTTGTGGCTCAAGATGACTTTATGTCATCCATAAGGGATGCATTTGACATCTGTTTCATATATTATAGCCCAACAAGTTACATATAGCAGTTTAAATATGAGCAATCGCTTTTTGGCAAATACCGGAAATCAGTTTTTGGCAGACAATCACTTTTTGGCACAACACCGGCAATGGCAGAGTTATGGAGATCACTAGCTGCCCGTCGCCCGGCGTAGGAGGAACTAAGTGCTTAGATTTGGATGATCCTCCGTGTTTTCTGTGACAGTGAGACTGAAACTCTGGATCAGCCGAATCTTCCTGTGATTTTGGATCAATATTCAGAGCATTCCACAGTGACGGCTTCTGGCCGTGAAAATAGTCTGGAAGTTATGTGACCTAAATCTGAACAGTTTTATCTCCTAAGAAAATAAAGTTTCACATGACAGGAATCATAGGAAAGCCTTCAAGGTTAGTTTCTTTAGTTTTACATGAGTCTGAGATGAGCCCTTCTCCGAGGGACAGCTCATAATTGAGTTTGATTTTATTGCTCTATTTGTTTATACTTTAAAAATACATCTATACACACCTGTCAGCATCAGTTATTGTCCCTCTGACAGATCCATTTTAGAAAATGAGACATCTTCAGCATGGAGACCTATGGTTGATTCCTGGGCCACAGGCAGGAGACGGGGGAGAAGTCAAGGTACAGAGTAGGGAAAAAGAAAAGCCAGAGTCCATCCCACTAATGCTTTATTAATGTCTCACAGGCATAAAAGTGTCCAATATTTTTTAATGGAACTACTTTAAATTAAAACAACAGGCTGTGCATTTTTAAAATTTCACAGTGAGAAAGAATGAAGGGCAGATCACGTAAAATGACAAAAATAAAAATTCAATTTAATTCAGTTCACTTTTATTTATATAGCACCGAATCACAGCAACAGCTGCCTCAAGGTGCTTGATAATGTAAGGCCAAGACCCTACAACAATGCAGATAAAATGCCAACAATTTACGAGCAAGCACTTTGGCGGCAGTGGGAAGGAAATGCTTGCTTTTAACAGGAAGAAACAGGCTCGCAGAGGGGCGGCCATCTGCTGCAGCCAGTTGGGGGTGAGGAGAGAGAATAATGTATAAAAAATAAGGGACACTCTCATCATGGCCGGGGTTTGGCTGCTTCTTTTATGTGTTCAAGGTTAAAAACAATTATGCAAAGTGTACGTGTCCTTGATTATAGCTCCTCCTACAAGTGTCCTCTGTCCTCCTGAAACATTTTACGATTCACAGACTGGAGGACACAGGGACAGTGTCTATAACAGTAAAATTAACATAAAAAAACAATAAAGCACTTTTCAAAATCAGTCATAAATCATAGAAGTGCATTTATTGCTGCAGGTCTCTAAGTAAAGACAACTCACAGAGTGGGAGTGGACCAACACAAAGGTATCTGCACTTTGATGCTTCCTTTACAAGAGGATACACTAATATACCTTTTGGAAAAGAAAACAAATCCCACAATTCAAAGTGTTAAGTGCTTATTTGGATTTTAACGAATGAATTTGACTTCAGTAATAGAAAAGCTGGATAGCGACAGATGTCACACTGTTACATCTCTGCAGCAAAGAAAAAAAAAATGAGAGTGAATAATATAAGCATGATAAATTGGATACATCCTCCCTCTGTGTGATGGTTGCCATTATTGCAATGCTGTGTGGACTGTGTGGCAGCTGAAGGCTCTCACAACAACGGGTAGTGTAGAAACAATGGCAGACTTTAAAAAAGGCTCACATTTCTCTAACGGAAGCAGGTACCTCTAATAAGCATCTGTGCTGATGCACAAAAAAACCTGGTCTCACAGAAATAGATCTCCTAACACTGTTTTAATGTTACAATGTCAGAGCCACGTTAGAGTCAGTTGTGAAGTCTGTAGTAGTGCACACATGAATTATTTCATGTGAGCTAGCAGTATTGAATAATTATGTCTGTCAGTGATGAATCATTGATTTTTAATTTTTAAACTTTTTCAGTCAAAGGTAACTCTGATGCCTAACCCTCACCAAACCAAACAGACACTTAAACAGACATATCACTGATGTCATTGATGTGTCTGTTTAGGTGAAGAATTTGTTGTAGTTCAAGATTCATTCAGCTTTTTTGGTACGTCGTATGTAAGGTCATGGTATGTTGTCATCTATTATTATCTATTGCCTGCCTTTTATTTTTGTTTTATTTTAAAATTTGTGTTTTGACTATTAGTTCCTGAAGATTAATACTTTTACAATGACCATCTTCTTTTTGATTGCTAGATGTTAGTAATGGTAAGACTACTTCTAGTAATTTCCTCTTATCTAAGATATGCAGTTAGTGTTGAGCTGGTCTTCCAGCGTCGATACGGAAGATGACAGAGCGCAAGTGGAAACCCAAGTGAACCATCATGCATCATCAACATTATCTGAAGCTGCGGTCATTTCCCACAGACTCTTACACAGAACACAGAGACACTGAGGAGTCATATGACCTAAGTCTAAACCCAGCATACAGACTTTCAGTGAATGTGGTGCTGAAGGTGTGGAGGTGAATCAGAGTGTCAGAGGAGACTGTATAGAAGGACAGAGTGCCAGCAGGACAGTCCACATACACCCCTACTCTGCTCTTGATGAGGGAGGAGGAGATGGATGTTTCCCGGTTATTGTGCCACACAGAGTAACCACCATCAGAGCAGCTCAGACTCCAGGACTGATCATTCCAGCCAAACCTGCAGTCGGTCCTATCTGCTTTTCTACTGATTCCTCTGTAACTTACTGCTATAAAGACCCCCCCACTCCACTCGACCTCCCAGTAACAGCGACCAGTTAGAGCATTTCTACACAGCAGCTGAGAGCAGGTATCAAATCTGTCTGGATGATCAGGATACGACTGTTCCGCTCCCACTATCACCTTCCTGTTGTTGTTAGCAAGTTTGAGCTTCCTGTTTACTGAGTTTGTGTCCAGTTCAAGTTCAAAGAAATCTGATGGAAGAAGAGAGGAGACATAATAATAACTAACAAAAATATCATTTAAAGATAGGGTTTAAAGACAAACTGACAGGTGGCTTTTTTTCAGCAGTCAAACTTACACTTCCTAACATCAGGTTTCAACCTGTGTGCTCCACCATGCTCCACCCTGGATGAAAGAAGAGTTGGGATGACCATCAGCACCATCATGAACATAAAGAGTGATTTAACAGACATCTGTACCCTGACCTCAGTTTCCATTTTACATTTTTTTGAAACCTGGTTGTGTTGCTTATAACCGTATCATGATAATAATCCAGTGTATTTCACTAGATTATTGACAAAGTTCACAAAAGAATACTCTGCATTATAGATGCATGTTGCACATAATTATGACCATTAACCAATCTATTCAGAAGAAATATATTACACAAAAAATGTGAAAAGTATAAACTTCTTATGTGATGTAGATTCATTCTTCGGAAACCTCTGTGGTTCATCTGTGAAAAGAAATTTTAAGATCTTGTCATATTCCTGTACCTGAGAACATCAAGTCTCCAGTGTGAATCCTTTACTCCAGCCCATAGCTGTTCCACTCCTAAGTGTCCTGGATGATTGTAACTCAGATCCAGCTCTCTCAGGTGAGATGGGTTAGAACTAAGAGCTGAGGCCAGAGAAGCAAACCCTTCGTCTGTTACCAGACAACCTGATAGACTAGAGTTAGTAAAAACAAAATTCAAGCAGAAAGTAAAGAAAAACCTACACTTATTGACCATCTCCACCATTGGATGAACATTAAGATTGATTTAAGACAGTTGTATTCTGACCTCAGAGTTTCCATTTTACAGTGTGGACTTTTTAGTCCAGCGGAAAGCAGCTTGACTCCTAAATCCAGCAGATTGTTGTTGCTCAGGTCCAGATTTCGTAGATGAGAATGATTGGAGCTAATAGCTGAAGCTAAACAACCACAGCCTTCATTTGTGACCTGACAACCTGACAAACTGGATAAATAGAGGTCATGAAGTTAAAAACAAAGAATAAAACAAAAAAAAAAAACCCAACAAAAACAACAAAAAACAGATGTTGGCCACCCATTTCAACATTTGGACATTTTCACACGAGCATTAGTTGGCTATATTCTGACCTCAGAGATTCAATTTTACAGTGAGGACTCTCAAGTGCCATCGAAAGCTGCTGTACTCCAAAATCTTTGAGATTGTTGTTGCTTAGCTCAAGCTTTCTCAAATGGGATGAGTTGGAACGAAGAGCTGAGGCCAAAGGAGCGCAACCTTTTTCTGTTACCAGACAACCTGACAGACTGAGATTGAATCAGGATTAAATCACACAACATTAAAGAAAAACCTTTAAAATAAGTCAAAATCTAAACATTAATTAATTGTATCCTTACCGGAGTGTTTCTAGTTTGCAGTGAAGACTCTGCAGTCCATCAGATAGCGGCTTCAATCCGGAATCCTTTAGGTTGTTGTTACTTAGGTCCAACTCTCTGAGACCAGAAGGCTGAGAGCTAAAAACTGAAGATAGAGTTTCACAGCTTCTCTCTGAAAGGTTGCATCTGTTGAGCCTGGGGAACAATTGCCAATGAAGACAAAGTGATTTATTTAAGTCATACAAAATAAAAAATATCCAATTTTCTTGACCTATTCACAGATCCACCTACAGAGCTCTGTTGGAAGCTTTGATGACTGGCAGGAGATTTACAAGAGCCTCATCTGAAGCAGAGTATTTCTTCAGATCAAACACTTCAAGTTCTTTTTCAGAAGACAATAAGATGAAGACCAGAGCTGACCACTGAGAAGGAGACAATTTTTCTGTGGGGAGACGTCCTGAACTCAGGGACTTTTGGATCTCCTCCACTAGAGAATGATCATTCAGCTCATTGAGACAGTGGAACAGATTGATGCTTTTCTCTGCAGACAGATTCTCACTGATCTTCTTGATGTATTGGGCTGTTTCCTGATTGGTTTGTGAGCTACTTCCTGTCTGTCTCAGTAGACCCTGTAAAAGAGTCTGATTTGTTTGCAGGGAAAGACCCAGGAGGAAGCGCAGGAGCAAGTCCAGGTGACCTTTTGGACTCTTTAGGGCTTTGTCCACAGCACTCTCATGGAGATGTTTGAGTTTAGATTTGGGTCTTACTTTAGACAGCAGAGATGTTGTTTGTTGTTCTCTCAGCAGGTTGACTCCAGAGTTGATGAAGGTCAGATGGACATGAAGAGCAGCCAGAAACTCCTGAACACTCAGATGGATGAAGCAGAACACCTTGTCCTGGTACAGTCCTCTCTCCTCTTTAAAGATCTGTGTGAACACTCCTGAGTACACTGAGGCTGCTGTGATATTGATGCCACACTCTATCAGGTCTGATTCATAGAAGATCAGGTTTCCTTTCTGCAGCTGATCAAAAGCCATTTTCCCTAGAGACTTGATCATCTTCCGACTCTTTTTATTCCAGTGTGGATCTGTTTCAGCTCCTTCTTCATACTTCACATTATTCACTTTGGCCTGAACCACCAGGAAGTGGATGTACATCTCAGTCAGGGTCTTGGGTAGCTGTTCTCCCTCTCTGGTTTTTAGCACATCCTCCAGAACTGTAGCAGTGATCCAGCAGAAGACTGGGATGTGGCACATGATATGGAGGCTTCGTGATGTCTTGATGTGGGAGATGATCCTGTTTGATTTTTCTTCATCTCTGAATCTCTTCCTAAAGTACTCCTCCTTCTGTGGGTCAGTGAATCCTCTGACCTCTGTCACCATGTCAACACAGTCAGGAGGGATCTGACTGGCTGCTGCTGGTCTTGTGGTTATCCAGATGCGTGCAGAAGGAAGCAGGTTCCTCCTGATGAGGTTTATCAGCAGCACATCCACTGAGGTGGACTCTGTAACATCAGTCAGGGTCTCAGTTTTGTGGAAGTCCAGAGGAAGTCGACACTCATCCAGACCATCAAAGATGAACACAACCTGGAAGTCTTCAAAGCTGCCGCTTTCTTCTTCTTTGGTTTCAGTAAAGAAGTGATGAACAAGTTCCACCAAGCTGAACTTTTTCTCTTTCAGCACATTCAGCTCTCTGAAAGTGAATGGAAACATGAACTGGATGTCCTGGTTGGATTTGTCTTCAGCCCAGTCCAAAGTGAACTTCTGTGTTAGGACTGTTTTCCCAATTCCAGCCACTCCACTTGTCAGCACTGTTCTGATTGGCTTATCTTTAACAGGTGAGATTTTAAAGATGTCTTCTTGTCTGATTGTTGTTTCTGGCCTGTCTGATTTCCTGGATGCTGTTTCGATCTGTCTGACCTCATGTTCATTATTAACCTGTGCAGTCCCTCCCTCTGTGATGTAGAGCTCTGTGTAGATCTGATTCAGAAGAGTTGCATTTCCTGCTTTAGCAATTCCCTCAAAAACACACTGGAACCTGTTCTTTAGGTTAGCCTTGACTTGACGCTGGCACTTTGCAGTCTGAATTCCTACAAAATAAAAACAATGACAAGTTAATAAAGCTTAATAAAAGGTCAACTTTTTTTTAAAACACACTCCATTAAATCTATTCTGCCAGAAAACTTCATAGATGTGATGGAGATGCGTAGAATCTATACAAACAGAGTTTGAAATGTCAACTTTTTCTGTTGCTTGTTTTTCTGCTTTCCATTGTGTTAAAATTCTCTTACTGCACTGCAGACGGTCAGCTAACTCTTGCTGCTTCATTCGCTTCAGGAAATCCACTGTAATTCTCAGAAATGACTCGCTGGTACTCTTCCTCTCCTCCTTGTCAGATTCCAACACCTCCTCATTTTCCTTCAGATTCTCTGCATTTTTGGGGTAACCTGGACTCAGAATGTTCTGGATCGTTTTCAGCTCATTCTTCACAAAACTGAAAATGTTTTCCTCCAACATCTGGAACCCAGAAAAATGTTGTTTAACTTCAGTTGAGACTGACGAGAAATGTACACCTTTGTAATAATACACTACAGTTAATGTGCCAGAATTTATTCATTGCTTCCATTCATCCTCCCTCTTCCGCTTATCTGAGTCACAGAGGAGCTGGAGCTGATTCCATGAGGTGAGAGGCAGTGTGCGCCTTGATCCAGGGCTAACTCAGAGAGACAGATAACATTCACACCTATTGGCAATTTAGAATCAAATTAACCTAACCCCAACAACTGCATGTCTTTGAACTGTGGGAGAAAGCCAGAGCACCCAGAGACAAACACAGGGAAAACTTTACACAGAAAGCCGCTGGCCAGATGGTGGAACAGTGCTACCACCACACTGAACTGCTGAAGTTATAATAAAAATAAAATCAAATAAATTATTTATATTTATAGACAGGCATAACTAAACAATATACCCAGTTGTCATGGCATGGGTCTAGGGGTCCAAGGCTCATGTATTTATTGTGTTCTGCTATCTCTCTCCTGTTACTCAGTCTCTCTGTGTGTGTTTGTGTGTGTGTTATTTACATCCGCGTAAATAACATACACACGTTGGAGGAATTATTCCTGAGCTGGAGGCAGCCACACCTGCCGCTAAATATCCGTGGCCAGCTGATTACTGTTGTCAGGAGCACTGGCTTTAAGAGGGTGGCTGAGCTCCTGTCGGCGTCAAACCCATTAAGTACAGCCGTTGACTAATGTGTGTTAAAGACCTCGCTATAGTGGATTATTCTGCTGAGTTGTGTTTTTTTGTGTGCCACCACGAGTTGGGAGCGGAGTGCGTCTATTGTCATGGAGGGAAGTCACGGTTTGGAACTGGGGTTTTGGAACATAATAAAATAAAGTTTAATTACTTTACTTCTAGAAAACTATCTAGACTTCCACTCACCATAAATACGTAGTCCAGATGTGTTTGATGGTGCAGGACCTGCTGGTCAACACTGCAGAACACATTTAACTTTAGTATAAGTACAGTTTGTTTAAGGGGTTCCTTTCTATGATAAATTCTGATGGAAACAAAGTAAATACTGTTCTCATTGTTGTATGTGATCCCAAAAGCTTGATTCTGTTCATCTGGATGTTGTGTTTTCAGTGGGAGAAATGTTTCATCACTCATCCAAGTGACTTCTTCAGTCTCAGCTGACTGCAGGTTTCCCCAATCCCACTGAAAACGCTACATCCAGATAATCAAAATCAACTTTTGGGGACTTACTTATCTAAATGTTGGATATGATGTATTCAAGCAGGAAGCAAAATGAAATTCTTATATTCTTACCTGTTATCAACAGACTGGGGTCCATCTTGTAAAGATATCTTCCATTCTATAGACCCACAGCTGGGTGCAAGCTGTGCGTCTGGACTTTCCTGAAGGACACTGTTAGAAGTACACAGATTTAACACACTCCACTGAAAAATTCAGCATAAAACATCTACTGAAAAAAAAAGTAGGGCATGTAAGGTAAAAACTTGGTGTGGAGGCAAAAAGTAAAAACATGCAATCAAACCAAAAAAAAAACTGGTACCACATGGGTCAAATGATTTCAGTACAAGGAGGCACACTGAAGGAGTCCTTAGGAAGGATCTCCAATGATGCACTGAGCACTCAATCTTCTCCTTTACTCTCTATACTTTTATATGACGCTATTGCATGTCACTATATTTGTTCCAGCTCTTTCTTGTAATCTGCAGTCACACAAATAATTGTACTTAGTGTTCTTGGAGCTGCTTTTTTCAGTGTGTAAAAAACTTCTGGTTTTATGGACAAAATTTCTTGGTGTAGCCAAGAAGAGGGTTTCCAGACAGATATGACCTTTTTCAGGATTATCTGACCATCATGAACTCCCCTTATGAGGCCTTTGCTCTCAAAATGTGTGAATACAAATAATTTTTTTTTTGCAACATCATAACGAAACAAAACCAGTGGGCGCAAGAAACTATATCAAACACACACATGCAAATGCACGCACGTATACACACGCACACACACACACACACACACACACACACACTCTCACACACACACACACACACACACACACACACACACACACACAGTGAAGCTACTAGTTACGACAACTGCCACTCTGGGAATTGCCGCGTCTGTCTTTCGTCTTCTCGCGCTTCTTCGCGAATCGAATTGATTCAGGTCCAGTTTCTGTTAAGCAGAGTCCAAGCTTGCTCTTGTGTCTTTTTGCTTAACCACTACACACCACAACGGCACACACACACACACACACACACACACACACACACCACACACACACACACACACACACACCAAGTGAGTGACACGAAGAACGAAGAAGACTCAGCACAAAACAAACTGTATCAAACTTTAGGATTATTGAGTTATTTTTTGAAGGAGGAGAATTAGTAACATTGTTAACTTCTCCATTGTAATCTCTGCCCCACATTTACTTTGTTCCCATCTCATCACCTAAAGCTTGGGGCTATTGTGCTGCATTGGCTGTGCACAACATGCAAATCACTACTAATCAGTAAAAGAACTTGAAATTTAACAGGCTGTGAGAGAAGAAGTTGATGACATAGAGCTACATTCCAGCTTCCGCTTGTTAACTGATGCTATAAACCACCGAGTTAAAGTGCTTTAAGAGCACAGGTGGAAGACGTGTTATGTTTTTAAGTGATGATGAGCTCCTCTTCTCCTCTTGCCTGGCAGCTACATATTCACATCCTCTGTCTCTGCTCTGCACATGTCCAAACTGTCTTTACTCATCTCTAATCTTTCTGAAAATCTGAACTCGGACTGTCAACACTCTTATAATATTGTTTTTTTTTTTTTTTTTTGTGTCCCGTTTGGATCTTTAGCCATCAGAATTGTTGTCTTAAGGCCAAGAAAGATGCCAAGCGGATTTATTTTACCAAGTGGATCATCATGGCCTTGCCATATTGGTCCATTTGATTGACCTTTATTATAATTATGAATTTATTTTATTTTCAGTTGCTACAAACGGGACAGACATGACTGGGGGATAGGACAGGGAGAAAGAATGAAAGAAAGAGAGGGAGAGAAAGAAAACCAAAGGGGAGAAGAGACGGTGAGAAGGGGGGGAAGAGAAGAAAAAAAACAAACAAAAAAAAAACACCTGGGTCACCTGTATGGAGAAAAAAAACAGAAGAGAAAGCAAACAACAAAGAGCAACATAATAAAAAAAACACACCATCACAATAAACTAGCTAGCAGTAGATATCAGTAGATACTAAATAATAAACGATATTGTGCAGCACGCAAGATAGACAGCGCACAATGTGCTTTGAGGCAGCAGCCAAGAAAGCTGTAGTCCGCGTCTGTGAATACCCGTGTGTACACCTGTGTGCATACCTGTGTGGATCAGCATGCTTGCATTCCAAAGGTTTCTCCATGTAACGATCTGCTAGGGAGTGTGGGGAGCCACAGCCCCGTCCTCCAGGGATGAAGCAGGTATGGAGGAGATCAAAACTCCAGACATCCAGAGGCCCCCAGAACACAAGAGACCAAGGAAGACCAACAGAGGGGCAGCCGCGCCACTGTCCCGATAAGAGCTGAGGAGAGTCCCAGATGAGGGCTCACTCAGCAGCCGCGGAGCAGAAGCCAGGGGGAGTTGCAGTGACGCGCCCGTGAGCTCCGCCGGCAGCCAGCTGTGCCTGAGTGACCGAGCCCCAGGCCGAGAGGCCGGGGGCACCCCACCTCCGAAGTGGCCCGAGCAGAGCCCCAGGCTCCAGGCCCCGATAAGCGGCCGCCAAGGAGTGAGCCGGTGTGTACCGGACGCCCACCCCCAGACACAAAGAACCACCAACGCACCGACACCTGAGGGAGTCCGCCACCGGCAGGGGAAGTGGTGGTGGGGGAGATAGGCCTCCAAACCTTGGAGGGCCTGAGATGTCCCCAGAGAGGTGGCGTCTGATACCCAACCTGACATATAGACACAGACATACAGGCACACACAGACACAAACATCCATTCCCACCCTCATGCTCTCATATGCACTATCCACACTCAACCAACGTGGAGACAGACATAAAGAGACGCTGTACACACGATCACACTCCCCAAGCGTACTCTACAAACCGGGTCTAGGTACCCTTGTATCTCCCCCTCCTGCAGAGAGTTCCTGGCACAGAGAGTTCCATATCTACTGACATTCCTTTTCTCTCTGGAGCACACCTCCACCACTCCACGCTCTCTGATCCACCCCACTAACCCCACACTGATTGTTATTAACTTTACAAATTATCACTTCTGTAGTTTGTTCTACATCACCTCAGAGATGTCCACTACATTCCTGCTTTATTGAAGTTTATGCAGGTGGATGCTTCTCTAGTGTCCTGGATTCTTGATTACCTGACAGGAAGACCACAATATGTACGTCTCCCACAGTGTGCGTCTGACAAGGTAATCAGCAACATAGGGGCACCCCTTCCTCTGCACCCTCTACACCACAGACTTCAGCCACTGCACAGAGACCTGCCATCTTCAGAAGTTTTCTGATGACTCTGCGGTGGTTGGATGCATCAGCAGGGATGATGAGACAGAGTACCGGGCTGTGGTCGACTCCTTTGTCACGTGGTGTGAGCAGAATCATCTGCAGCTCAACGTGGCAAAGACCACGGAATTGATCGTGGACTTTAGGAAGACCAGGAAATACTTGACCCCTGTTTCAATCCAGGGGGTCAGAGTTGACATTGTGGAGGACTATAAATACCTTGAAGTACATATCGACAATAAACTGGACTGGGCTACAAACACCACAGCACTTTACAGAAAGGGCCAGAGTCGTCTCTATTTCTTGAGGTGACTGAGGTCCTTCAACATCTGCCAGAAAATGCTCAGGATTTTCTACGAGTCTGTTGTGGCCAGTGCGATCCTCTATGCTGTTGCATGCTGGGGGAGCAGGCTGAGGGTCGCAGATGCCAACAGACTCGATAAACTGATTCGTAAGGCCAGTAATGATGTGGGGATGGAGCTGGACTCCCTCAAGGTGGTGTCGGAGAGGCGGATGCTGTCCAAGATAAAGACAATGTTGGATAACACCTCCTACCCACTCCATGACATGCTGGTCAGTCACAGCAGCACGTTCAGTGAGAGACTGAGATTACCGAAAAGCACCACTGAATGACACAGGAAATCATTGCTGCCTTTGGCCATCTCCCTGTACAACACATCCACTTAACACACTGTTTACTGCAACAGCTACACCCTTCTTGCACATGTTCTTTTTCAGCTATTTATTAATAAGTGACTTTTATGTATATATATACCTGTATATATTGTGCTATTCTTAGTTAGAGTATTGTCTGTCTTTGTTAATGTTTGTTTATAATGGAGCACTGTAATAAAAAATAATTTCCCCTAGGGATCAATAAAGTATTCTGATTCTGATTATTAAATCTCATCACTGTGTCCTCTTGAGTCTGCATTTGGGTCCACCCCCAAACATCCGCCCCTAGGCCCCCTCAACACTGACCTTGTTGTTTTTGTAAAGTGCGCCGAGATTAACCTTGATTTGTATGAAGTGAACTTTAACCCTTTCTTGCATGAATTATGACAACCTCAACCAGGATTTTTTTCTTAAGTATTTTCATCCATCTTTAAACATGAAGATTTTTGAACTTCTTTTTTTTTTAAACATGTACTTTTCAAAGAGTTATTTTTTTTAACCCATAACAAGGGTTAAGGCCGCAGGAGTAGAAGAGTAATTGGTTCACAGGGAACTGAGACATGTAATTTTGACATGTTTAGCTCTAAAATTTGCAGCAGCAATTTAACTCAGACTCAGTAACTTTAAAGCAAAGTGGTTAGCAGTGCAAAGAGTGGAGCTGTGCTTTATTTAACTCATTGGGTTTATATGGGACATGTTATCATTTTACACACATCGCTCTGGTCATAACATGCTAACTTCTGAATAATAACTGATTAATTATTTCTGTATAATAAACAGACTTACTGTTTTTTAAATAAGGGCTTCTTTTTCAGTCTGATATGATGTTTGCTGCTCACTGACATGGGTTCAGGTTCAGATCCAGCAGAGTATGATTTGTACCACAGCTTTTTTCTTCTACATAAAACACACACACAGATTTGAGTGATGACATCACTGCCTCATCGGTCAGACATGAGCATCTCTGATCAGTTTGGACTCACAGAGGTTACAGCAGTGTAATGTGGAGACAAAGGCTGTATCCCAATTCAGGGTCTGCAGCCTTAAAGGCCGCATTTTAAGGCCGATTACGTCACAGCGACGTGACGAAGGCTGTCCCAATTCGAAGGCTGCTCGAAATGCGGCTCTGAAATGCGTCCTTCATTTCCCTGAATTTTAAGGACGTGGCGGTGTAGACTTCTTGGCCCAACATATCCCAGAATGCATAGCGCGGCGGTGGGTGTGGATAATTTTGCCGAAAAAAAAACGCGGATGAGGGGCGGCCGAAGAGTAAACTTTAAGTAAGTACTGAATATTATGTCACTTATTTATGTGCAAATGTTTAATAACAAAGAACATTAAACATTACTGTTGGCCACATGTCGGCAAAGTTATGTGACATTAGTGACGTTTGTACTAACTTGGTTTTAAAGCCTTTACTTTAAAATATACGCCGTTCAATAGCTGAGCTTAATCTTACAGAGAATGATCAAAGCTCATGTAGAAACAAACAAACAAATGAACAAAAGATTTTCTCCTTCATTTCTGTCAAACAAAGCTGTATGAAACGTTTCCAGCTGTTAGTATCATGGTTGCTAGGCAACCTGGGCAGCGCAACGGAGGCTAGACTGTCCCATTTCACAAGCCTCGCACTTCCGGCCTTAGCGGTCTTTAAGTACGCGGCCCTTGAGGATCGTTGAGGCTGTGTACTTTAAGGCTGCAGACCCTGAATTGGGATACAGCCATTGAGCAGTAGTGAAAAACAGGAAACCAGTGAGAAGGTTTACTGGGAAACAATCAGGATGTAATTTCTGTGTTCCTGTTGCTTTCAGGCCCCTCTTCTGTGGAACCAGCTTCCAGTTTGGATTCAGGAGACAGACACTATCTCTACTTTCTCATAGGAGATTATGATTGTTGGGTCTAGATTACAGTATTAAGGGCCTGAGGTGACTGTTGTAATATCTTTATTCAGAACACTGAAGTTTCACTCTGTCAGTGTAAAATTTGTATCTCTCTGTTTAATCCAACCTCATGTTGGTGTAGTGCCCTGAGTCACTGTCCTCTGAAACATATACATGAAAACAAAAACTTACAGTACCTTTTAGAACTTTTTGAAGACCATTGTTCTTTATAATTAATCAGCTCGTCGAGGGACATGTCACTCTTTACAGACACAGAGCTGGGTTCATGTTCAGGTCCAGCAGAGTGTGATTTGATCCACAGCTTTGGTCTAACACAAACACAAACAGAGCTTTGAGTGTGAATAATGATGGAGCAGTGATGTGAGTGCTGAGCTGTGACATGGAGAAGAGTCCTGATAGTCAGAGACGGTCCTCTCACCTCTGAGCTTTGGTCTGGCTCTCATGTTCCCCACACAGAGTGGATGCAGAGGGAGGGACTCCCTCCTCTCTTTGCTCACACTGATCCATAGCAAAGCCCACACCTTCACACGGAAACAGCAAACTAATAGTTAACAGTGAAAGAAACATTGGTGAGACAAGCTGAGACAGGCTGGACAATTATGGACAAATGTATTAAACCCTCCAAAATAGGGCTAGCCAGCGTTGGGACCAGGAAGTAGAGTTGCAGTCTTACACGCCTCTCTGCAGCTTCTCTCCTCCTGTTACCCTCCCCAAAACCCATCTCCATAGAGACTGTGTCAGCTCCCAAACAGACAAAAAACAAACATAAAAAATCACAAAGAAAGAACAATACAGCATCCACATCTGAACTAAAGAGTAAAACAGTGAAATGTGGATTATTAAACATTAGGTCTCGCTCTTCCAAGTCTCTGTTGGTACATGTCTTAATAATTGATCAATAAATCGATGTCATATGCCATGGGAGTGTCTGGTCGGATGTGGTCCAGGTTCCTGCGGTGGAGTTGGCCAGCTCATCACCTGCTTCCAATTTCCGGGCCTCCATCTGGAGGGTTTTTAAGCCAGCGCTTCCTGCCACTCCTTGCCAATTCATCCTGCTACCACTAGTGGTAAACTTGGCCTCCGCTGTGTTTGGACTCCGTTTGCCTGGATCGTGGGTTGATCCTGTGTTCTCCAGATACATCACCCGTCGTGCTCATCAGCAGCGCTGGTTCTGTTTCCACTCCATTCTCCAGTCTGCCTAGAACCCTAGGACTCACCATCTCCTCGGCCTGCCCTCCAGCCCGTACTTCAACGGTGAATTCCTCTCCCCTGGACACCCTGGAACCTGGACCAGCTTCCCCACATTCTCAGCCATCCCTGGGACGCTCCCACGGCAACCCCTCCTCTGCCTAATAGCCGGTGTTTTCAAGTAAGCACAAGACTCTCCACTAGTACCACTCTAATTGTTTTCCAGATCAGTAAAACCTCGTGTTCTCCTTGTGTTCCACATCCGTTTCTCCATCCTCTGGTCTCCCTCAGTTCCTGCGTATAGTTTCTGTTAGAACCAGCCTTGTTTAAGTACTTTTTTCCTACAAATAAATTGTACATAGTTCGAGCAATTGAGTCTGCTCTTGAGTCCACAGCATCCTTGTTTGAGACAATCGATTTACTTTACCTTACAGAAACCTGGTTGCAGCAGGATGATTATGTTCGTTTAAATGAATCAACACCCCAGAGTCATTCTAACTACCAGAAACCTCGAGGGGGCGGCCTGTGCTTTACCTCGCCATGTATGACACTGGATAAGGCCTCAAATCAGATGTACTTGACTCCCTGTGTCACGGTACTGGGTCGTGTGACCCAGTGTTTGAGTTTTTATGTATCTTACCTTTTGTATTCATTTCTATTCTAGTTTAGCTCATCTAGTTAATTTCTAGGTCAGTTTAGTCCTTTGTTTCTTAGTTGTTTCTGTCATCTCCCCCTCTACTGTCTCCTGGGCCATGCGTCTACCTGTCATGTTTCATGTCTGTGTGGTCCTTGTTTTGAAGTTTGTGTCATGTCTATGTCTCAATGTTTCCTGTTTTATTTTGAAAGAGTCTGGTGTTCTTTGTTCATTGTATTTAGTTTTCACTTCCCCTATCCTGTCATTAGGTTCATGTGTGTCAGCTGTTCTTCCTCGTGTGTTTCCACTTCCCCTGATCATCCCTGTGGGTATTTAGTCTCTGTGTTTCATTCAGTCTGTGTTGCATTGTCTGTTATCATTCCTGTCACTCTAGCTACACGTCATGAGTCATAGTTTTTCGAACTCTGTTACTAGTCATGTTCATAGTAATCTGCTCCTGTCATGTTTTCATAGTCTTTCATGTACCAAGCCAGAATTCTGTTCTTAGCTTTTTCATGTTGTGTTCATAGCTCATAGTTACAGTTCAAGTCAGAGTCTTAGTTTGTCTTAGTCTTTAGTTGTTTCCCAGTTTAGGCTCTTTGTTTAGGTCATTGCCTTAGTTTATTTTTGGCTATTTTTGCTTTAATGTTTACCGGCCCTAATAAAGGCTGGCTTTGAGTTTAGTAAAAGTTTTGCCTCCTTCGTCTGTGTCCGCACCTGGGTCCTCCAAACACCCTCCACATGGTCTGCCCCCGCTGACTGTGACATTCTGGTATAATTCTTAAACACGTAACCTAAAGCAGATAACTCGTAAGCTGGAGAGGAAATGGCGTGTCACACATTTAGAAGATCATCATTTATCCTGGAGAAATAGTTTGCTGCTTTATAAGAAAGCCCTCCGTAAAGCTTACTATTCGTCACTGATTGAAGAAAATAAGAACAACCCCAGGTTTCTCTTCAGCACTGTAGTAAAGTAAAAGTAAAGTGTGCGTGTTAGTCCCCATAGGGAAATAGTTCCTCTGCATTTAACCCATTCACCCAGTGAAGCAGTGGGCAGCCACCAATGCAGCGCCCGGGGAGCAGTGTGTAGGGACGGTACCTTGCTCAGGGGTACCTCAGGGTAGCCGTTCAGTGGAGTCGAACCCCCGACCTTCCGATCATGGGGCCACCACTCTACCTACTGAGCTATCCCTGCCCTGTAGCCAGGCTGACAAAAAAGTCAGAGCACTGTTGAGCCTATTCCTTTTCCTTTAACATTAACTAGTAATTCTTGAATTTTTTCACAAATAAAATTTTAATCATTAGAGAAAAAATTACCTATAATCATCTCACAGATGTAATATTATCTACAGCTACTTTTAGTACCATTGATATTCATTTAGGCTCTTTTTGTCCAACTGATCTTTCTGAGTTAACTTCAATAATTACTTCCTCCAAACCATCAACGTGTCTTTTAGACCCCATTCCTACAAAACTGCTCAAAGAAGTCCTGCCATTAATTAATTCTTCGATCTTAAATATGATCAATCTATCTCTAATGATCTGCTATGTACCACAGGCCTTCAAGCTAGCTGTAGTTAAACCTTTACTCAAAAAGCCATCTCTAGACCCAGCAGTCTTAGCTAATTATAGGCCAATTTCCAACCTTCCTTTCATATCAAAAATCCTTGAAAGAGTAGTTGTCAAACAGCTAACAGATAATCTGCAGAGGAATGGTTTATTTGAAGAGTTTCAGTCAGGTTTCAGAGTTCATCACAGCACAGAAACAGCTTTAGTGAAGGTTACAAATGATCTTCTTATGGCCTCTGACAGTGGACTCATCTCTGTGCTTGTCCTGCTAGACCTTAGTGCAGCATTCGATACTGTTGACCATAATATCCTATTAGAGCGATTAGAACGTGCTGTAGGTATTACAGGTACTGTGCTGCAGTGGTTTGTGTCATATCTATCTAATAGACTCCAATTTGTACATGTAAATGGAGAGTCCTCTTCACATGCTGAGGTTAATTATGGAGTTCCGCAGGGTTCAGTGCTAGGACCAATTCTGTTTACATTATATGTGCTTCCCTTAGGCAGTATCATCAGAAGACATAGCATACATTTTCACTGCCATGCAGATGACACCCAGCTCTATTTGTCCATGAAGCCAGATAACACACCAATTAGTCAAACTGAAGGAATGTCTTAAAGACATAAAGACCTGGATGGCCACTAACTTTCTGCTTCTTACTTCAGATAAAACTGAGGTTATTGTACTGTGCCCTGAAAATCTTTGAAATATGGTATCTAATGACCTTGTAGTACCATATCACCCCATTAGAGCACTTCATTCTCACACTGCAGGCTTACCTGTTGTTCCTAGAGTATTTAAAAGTAGAATGGGAGGCAGAGCCTTCAGTTTTCAGGCCCCTCTTCTGTGGAACCAGCTTCCAGTTTGGATCCGGGAGACAGGCACTATCTCTACTCTTAAGATTAGGCTTTAAACTTTCTTTTTTTGCTAAAGCATATAGTTAGGGCTGAATCTTCCCTTAGTTATGCTGCAATAGCCATTTTTACTGTGTAACTGGAGAAAGTGTCTTAGATTACTGTTTTCTCTCTAATAGAAACTGAGACTGTTGTTGAAAATCTATATGTTGGAACTTCAAAGTCCAAAAACTTCATAACCTGTATAAACTGTGGCAAAATCCACTCAGTATGTGTGACACCTAATAGGATATTATGGATCAAATGCATACAGCTAGTGAATCATTATGTAATAATAATATTAATAATAACTTTTTATTATATTTTTACTATGATGTAACTAGTATATTATTTCACTTTGGTGTCCCAGAGCTTCAGGCGTCCACCCAGGGTGACTGATTTAAAAATGTCTCTTTATGCTGAGTTTAGACCGTAGACTGTTTAATCCACACCTTGTGAATTAAATTTAACCTCAGCCAAGCTTATGTGGGCCGTTCAACCACTTCACACATTCTCTACATTTTTCCCTGCAGACTCAGGTTCAGATTACAATCAAACTGTAATTCACATTACCTGCTAATCACAACAAGAACACATGAAAATCACTGGAAGTCATTGTTCTTTACCTCAGAGAGAAGACCTTTACAACATTTATACCCCAAAGCAGCAAACAGCCAATCAGCATGAAGAGACATCTCTCCTGTACAGCCGGTGATCCAGCTCACTGTGATCAGACTGATCCTGTTCGCACATTTACAGATTTCTCAGGTGGGATTCTTACCCGCTGATTTCACTTCACATCATCTTCCAGACACTTCCCAGTTTTCTGCGTGGAGGAACCATCTGGAGAGAAGTAGCTGCTCGTTCAGCCCGTTTGTTAGTCCTGGTGTCTGTGAGCGTCTGATCTGATGACACTGACGTGTTATCGTAAGTTAACTTTAGAGTGACGTCAAAACCAGTTTAACCTGTAGAAACTGAGTAGCTAAGTGTAACCCTGGTAAGATTCACAGCAATCAGAAGTACAGGGTTCTTTAAATGCATCATAGTTTCCCATATTGTAGCTCTTGTCTGATAGTTTAATTTCTGATCTTGCCCTGAAGGCATTACCTGCAGCTTGGTGCGTGTGAAGGTGTGGTGCAGAGGAAAAAGGACGGCAAGGAAAAACTCCAGTTAAAAGGGGAAAATAGGTTCCATTAACATTTGTGAGAGAGTTTCCGTTAGCGGTGAACCACAGACGGGTACCTACCTCAAAGGAGTCGGAGTATTTCTTTGAATCCTTTGAACCATTCTGAATATTTTTTTTTGAGGGACAGTTCCATGTGTGCCGAGTGAGGAGCTGGTATTGTGGATCTAGGACACTGTTGCTGCTGTGGAGAGCTTCTGTGTGTCAGGACGCCGACACATTGATGCCTGCCGTACCAGGAGGGCGGTAGGGGAAAAAACAAAAGGAAGTCCACCTGAGAGATACCTTATCATTTTCTTTTGCTACTTTTTTCTTCGCCTGGGACTCAGGTTGTTTTTTGTTCTCAAACCCAAATAAACTGGTAACTAAATGAAGCTGACATCATAAAAACTGACTGTTGACAACCAGTAAAAGTCCAGTGGTACCACATTTTCCATTCTTTTTCCTTTTCTTTGGGGTGTTGAAATATTGTTTTTTCTTTCTTGTCTTACATCTGTTTTGATTGTTTCAATTACTTTTGTGATGCATTTGAGATGGTTACTGCATTTGAAGGTATCCCTACATTGAGAATGAGCAAAGGGAACTGATCCAAAGAAAACATATATAAAGCAAGGGCGTAGATTTGGCATGGACGGAAGGGACATGTCCCCACCAATATTCAGCAATTATTGAGTTGTCCCCACCAATAATTTGATCTATTCGAGTAAAGAAAATCAAACCCGATAGAAAGAAAAAAAAAAAAAGATCTGTCAATGTCTCATTTACCCAGCGGTGAGTCCTACTGGAGTCCTACCTCATGTGACAAATATGACCAATGTGAATGGCTGTGCCTTTCACGGAGCTCTGTTTAGTAGTGATGGGATTTCTGGCTCTTTTTAGAGAGCCGGCTCTTTCGGCTCCGAACGGCTCTTCAGGTTGTTTTGTTGCTATAATTAATTTATATTAACAATAATATAAAATTATGCACAAAAGGAATTACTAACGTAAAAAAGTGGTTTTATTTATGTTTATATATAAATATATGTGGTGGCCCCTAGAGACAAAGCACGTACAAACTCTAAAACACATTTCTAGCATGAACTGAACTTCCAAAGCAGAGCTACTAGATCACTTAAATTACACAATTGAAAGCATGTGTGTATTGTTTGTGTATTTATACACAGGCACTCATATATATTCAAATTATTTAAAAAAAATGTTCATTTACCTGTTATTACCACACACCAAATCCGGTCGTTGGTACTTGCTGGCTTGTGTAGCCACTAGGTAACAAAAGCTCAACCCTAGCATCCTGGAGCACTTCTATTGTCTTTTGTACGTGTTTTGAGTTTTTATGTGCTTCTGAGTTCTGAGTCAGCTTTTTCCTTTTACAAATTTAAAGTGAAACAACACAAAACACTGCAAACCACAACACAATTAAATATAAATTAAAATATGAAAACAAAAAGAACATGCACATTCTCTGTCATATGGACCTGCATGAATAAACTTTCTGAATCCGTTATCATCTGCAACTGAAAATAGTTGTGGATGATTACTATACCTTTCTAATGTGACGTTGTTGTCCCTGGCTCTCTTTCTCTCCCTCTGGCTCTGTTCCTGTGCTACTGAGTGTAACTACCGCCCCTCCCCCTTCTGCCCAGCGTAAAGCACAAGGCTGAGTGAAGCAGAAAAAAAGTGCGAGAGAGAGGCTGAGAGAAAGAAAAAGAAAAAAACCCACGTGATGGCTTGCGATAAGGAGCCGGCTCGCGTCGTTCACGTCAAAGAGCCGGCTCTAAGAGCTATTTCGTTCGCGAACGACCCATCACTACTGTTTAGTTTTAGCAGCGGCAAACCTGCGCTGCGAGGAGGAGAGGACGGCAGCAAAAAGGAAGAACCTGGATATAAGTATTTTTCAAAGAAACCTGCAAGTCACTTAAAGCCAAATTAACTCATAAAATGTGTCCGTCATAATAACGTTACAGGCTATGCTAGGCTTTGGCCCACATCAGTCTAAAATTGTATGTAACCATGAATAACGTGTTTTGGAAACGAACTGCACAACATGCAGCACTATTAGTTATCTCAGTCTCCCACAGTAGCATTTCTAATTTTGATTGAAACTTTCAGAGAAAACGGCAGCCTCGAGCAAGCCAGGATATTAGTTTACAGAGGCTGTTAAAATTATATGTTTAACATTAAAATGTTGGTGACACAATAATTTCATCCTAATGGTACTGACATATTCATAGGTTAATTTTTGAGACAAAATGTCATGAGGTAGTCATGATTTTGCAAATATCCACCTTGTAGTGCAGCACACAAATGATAGGTTTTATATTTGTATAAACATTTTTATAAACAGTACAAAAAGCACATTCAATTAATCCCACGACCCCTTTACAGGAAGTGTGTTTCGTGTAGGGGTGACGGGCAAAGGCTATTTCATGTCTTTTCATGTCTTCATTTTATGCTTTTTGACTTCAGTTAGATTTGTCTGTAACAAATCCTCACAAGAACATTTAGTTTAATCATAATCACTTTTAAAGCAGTCACAGGAATACTTGTCAATCCCAACCCTAACCCACAGATTAGTCAATAAAGTTTCCTCCAACTTTTCCGTACAATCCACTTTTTACTAAATCACTTTAAAAGTCAAAGTGTCGTGTGTGTGCTCTCATTCACTCTCATATCTGTCAAGGCCGTTTCTACTCAGGCTTTCAGTTAGACCAGAGTTAGACCTGTCTTGTCACAGTGACCGGATGGGACCTCAAGCGCAGACTGAAAATGACAGTTCAAACAGTTCTTTATTTATAGAAAACACCAGGTGCTAGATATGTACAGGTGAGGAGAAATCCGGGGTCCCAGGGGTCCAAAGGGATGATCCAGAGAGGGGAGGTCGCTTACTCTAGTGCTCCACAACACAGTTCCACACAAAAGGGAATCATCACTTAGCCACAACAGCAACTCCCGAGAGGCAGGGTTGTTCAGTCAGGGGAAACTCTTCTCAGGATAAGGGAAGTCAAAACTAGGAAACACCTCCTGAAGGTAAATCTTAGATCTTTTCACCAAGAGAGAATCCAACACTAACGTGTCAAGCACAATCATCCAGCAATGAGAGAATCTGAGCCCCGGCTTTAAATGGCACAGGAACACAATAGCTGAGTGATTGGAGACAGGTGCGTGGGACAAAGGCAGAAGCCCACAGTGAGCTCCGCCCAGGCAGAGTGATGAGAGAGAGCAGTATTACAATAAACAAATGTAGCATCACTGGGCTGGCCGGGAAGACACAGGGACCATGACATGTCTCTAGAATCATTATTATGTTTGTCAACATAAACATAATTATATTTAACTTATAATGTTCTGATCAGTATTAAACATAATTAACTATCAGAAAAGTCACATCTGAATCATAATCTTGTGTTTAACCTTTGCAACATTTAACTTAAAAAAGTATAATGATGAGTTTGTAACAGAGTTCTTATCTTTAGTTACAGGCTGATAACATTCAGTCTTTATAGAGACTGGTGTCATAGACAGAGATGTTCCTCTCACCTCTGACTCTCATGTTCCCCACACCGAGTGGATGCAACTGTTTTTTCAGATTTACAGTTAAGTGGAAACTGATATTCAAGAGGAACAAAATGTAATACAACATCAACTTTAAATATAAACTAAATATGTTCAATATAGTTTTTGTGCCTAGGCTACTCATTTAAAAAAAAATCTCTCTCTCTCTTTTTTGGGGTGTTGCCACTTCTCCACACCCACCTGCCTTCTCTGTGCGTCATCAATTCTTACATTGGACCATTACTGCTCGTGCTTTCTAATGATGGACCCTAAAGTTTGGTAAAGCTCGCCTTCTCATCTTTCAATAACCGTTTGAAATATCTCTCTTGCCCAAATGGTCGAGAAGTTACATTAGTGCAAGGCGCACATGGTAAAAATCTAGGCGGAATTGCGTTTTCCTTCTGTGTTCAGATAGCAGTAGGTTGTGAATGTTTTGAGCTACCATAATACACCAAATATCGCTGTAAAGCGTAGCTTCACTTCTTTCTGAAACCATTCGCATTTTTGCTCTAGCGTGAACAATGACGAAGTTACAGTTGTTTAAAGAGCACTTGTAAAATGATCAATAAAGGTTCAAGGTTTATTTGTCACTTGCATAGTTATACAAGTATAACACAAAGTGAAATGTAGCCTGACACGCTCCTCGACATGTGCAAAAAATTGGGGGGGGGGTAGAGGAAGAACATTATATATATATAGTATATACATTGGGTGAATGTGCAGTAGTAGCAGCAAGCAGGTGAATTCTGTACATTAATATGAATAGACATCTGACTATTTTACAGGATAGACAATATAAACATATTTAAAATTAAAGGAATTGAAATGTACATTGTGCCTTGGTTTAGTGTCTGGAAGAGTCCTGTCTCAGTCAATTATAGATGATGTGAGAGGGCGGGTGTGTGTGTTTAGGGCACGGATGGCTTGGGGATAGAAGCTCCTCTTGAGTCTCTCTGTCCTTGCCCGGAAGATGCGGAACCTTCTACCAGATTGCAGAAGTTGGAACAGTTTGTTGCCAGGATGGGACGGGTCCTTCAGTATCTGCGCTGCTCTAGTCCGGCATCTCCTGGTGTAGGTGTCCTGAAGCGGGGGGAGAGCAATCCTGCAGCAGCGTTCTGCTGTATGGATCACTCTCTGGAGAGCTTTTTGGTCCTTCACACAGCTGTTCCCAAACCACGATGTCATGTTCTGTGTGAGGATGCTCTCCACAGCGCCTGTATAGAAAATCCTGAGGATCTTTGGAGAGACCCTGAACTTCCTCAGTTGTCGTAGGTGATACAGGCGCTGCCTAGCCTTTTTGGTCTGGACCTGAATATACTTGAAGGACTGCACCCTCTCCACTGGAGCTCCATTGATGATAATGGGCTTGTAGTCTCTGTGCTGACCCCTTCTGAAGTCCACCACCAGCTCCTTGGTCTTGCTGACGTTCAGCTGGAGGTGGTTGTCCTGGCACCACGATGCCAGATTCTTCACTTCATCCATGTAGGCCGCCTCATCGTTGTTGGAGATGGCACCCAACACCACTGTGTCGTCAGCAAACTTCACAATGGTGTTGGAGCCATGGGTGGCCACACAGTCTGAAGTGTAGAGGGAGTAGAGCAGTGGCGAGAGGACACATCCCTGAGGTGCTCCTGTGTTGATGGTGATGCTGTTGGAGAAGCACCTGCCCACCCTCACCACCTGAGTTCTGCCAGTGAGGAAGTCCAACACCCATGCACACAGACGGCTGTTAAGTCCCAGATCCCTCAGCTTTGTGAACAGTCTGCAGGGCACTATTGTGTTAAACGCTGAACTGTAATCAACAAACAGCATTCGCACATAGTTACCCTGTTTCTTGTCCACATGGCTGAGAGTGGTGTGTAGGACGTGGGCAATAAAGTGTTAATGGTTATTTTTAACATATTTTGAAAAGATTAGATCCCAAAGTCATCACGATCCCATAAACAAGGCACGCCCACCATTTTTATTTTACAAGGTAACTTTCCAGTTTTTAAAGTTGTGTGTTTGAAGCAGGACTGAAGATTTTACAGAACAAGAATTTTAAAACCCTAAAAGGTATTAGTTTCTCACTAAAAGCAGTAAAAATAGCATCTTCT